AGTGGGGAAGGAGTGGGGGGGGGGGGGGTGTTCAGCATGGGCCAGACCTCTGCCCAGGGTCTGGGCAACCTGCCCGAAGGCACACAGAGACCAGGAGGGCCGCGCCCCCTCAACAGAGTCCCGCGAAGGCATCACAGCCTGAACCACTCCCCCCCGTGCCCCACCCCCAACCAGGCAAGCTGGGCCAGACCAGTCTCCCAGGTAGGGTTCCCCCCCTCTCTTTTAACATCCTGGGGGGGGCCATTCGACCAGCGGCAGCGCAAGGCGCCGACAGCGAGTCTGATGTTAACCAAAGCCTCTGCGCACTGGAGGAGAGCGCCCTGCTTTGCGCATTCCAAGCCCAAGTGGGGGCGAAGTCCTGCCCGCCTGCCCCTAGGCATTCCCCACCTCCTTCTCCAGCCCAGCCGGCCCCTCCTCGGCCCCCTGCCCCCTGCGATGATGCTCCCTCTTCTTGCGCTTCTGGCTCAGCTCCTCCCTGCCGGGCTCTGCCTCCTGCCCACCTCCTCCTCCTCCTCCTCCCCCCAGCGGGGTGCCCGGCTCAGCCCAGCTCTCCGCCCCCTGCTGGGCAGGCCGCCCTCCCAGCTCCTGGGCTGCCTCCTCCTCCGGCTTCTCCTTTTCCTTCTTCCTCTTCTTCTTCTTGGCTTTGTGACTTGAGCTGCCCGCCCCGGGCTGCTGCTCCTCCTCCTCCTCGGCCAAGACCAGCTCGCCCCTGAAGTCCCGCAACACCCCAGCAGCGTCCCCCTGGCCGGAGAAGGGCTCAGGGGGCGCTGCCTTCTCGTGGGTGCCCTGGGTTGCTTCCTCCAGCCCTGGGAGACTGTCCCCTCCCGGGCAGGAGCTCAGCCCCTCTGCCTCCCTCCCCGTCTCCTCCTTCCTTTTCTTCTTCTTCTTCTTCTTGCTCCCGGAAGCTGGACCCTCCGCCTCACCGGAGAGGAGACCCTCTTGGGCAGTGAGTCCAGAGCTGGGCTGGGAGCTGGTCTCCCACGGGGCTGCCCCGTTCTCCTCGGGCGGGCGGGCTGCCTCGGTCCCTGTCCCCGTCTCCTCCTTCACTTCCCGCTCGTCCCGCCTTTTCTTCTTCTTCTTCTGCCTTCGGGGACTTGGGTCCTCCACCCTGCCAGAGAGGGGACCCTCCTGGGCCACGGGTTCGGCGTGTGGCTGGGGGCTGATTCCCCTCGGGGCTGCCCCCTCCTCCCTGGGCGGCTGGGTGGCCTCCGTCTCTCCCCCCAGTTCTCCCCCCTCCCCCCTTTTCTTCTTCTTGCTTAAGGGAGCCGGATCCTCCGCCTCGCCAGACAGGAGACCGTCCTGGCCAACGGCCGCGGGGTCTGGCTGGGAGCCAACGGCCCACGGCGCTGTCCCATCCGCCTGGTGCGGGCTTGCGGCCTCTCCCCTCGTCTCCTCCTTCCGTTCTCCGTCCTCCTCCCTTTTCTTCTTCTTCTTCTTCTTGCTTCCGGGACCTGCAGCCTCCGCCTCGCCAGAGAGGAGACCATCGTGGGCAAAGGCGGCAGAGGTCAGCGGGGCCTCTGGGCCGAGTGCCCCCCCGGCCACGCCACCCTCCTCATGCTGGCGTGTGGCGGAGGCCGCCTCTTCTCCGACCTCCTCCTTCCGTTCTCTCTCCTCCTTCCGTTTCTTCTTCTTCTTCTTGCTTAGGGGAGCCAGGTCTTCTGCCTCACCAGAGAGGAGACCGTTCTGGGCATCGGCTGCAGAGCTTAGCTGGGGATCCGTTGCCGGCGGGGCCGCCCCGTCCTCGTGCCGCTGCCCCGTCTCTGCCTCTCCTGCCGTCTCCTCCTTCCGTTCTCTCTCCTCCTTCCTTTTCTTCTTCTTCTTCTTGCTTAAGGGAGCCAGATCCTCCGGCTCAGCAGGGAGGACGCTGTTTTGGGCAACGGCAGCAGAGCCTGGCTGGGAACCTACCCCGTGAACTTCGTGCGGGCCTCCGGCCTCCGTCTCACCGGCCCCCGTGGTTTCCCCCAAGGGCATCCCGAAGAGAGGCGGCCGGTCCTCCTCCTCTCCCAGCCGGTGCTGCTTCTTCATCTTTTTCTTCTTCTTCCTGGGAGGCTCTTCCACAGCTCCGGGCAGGGGCGCGCTCTCCGGGTTGCTCCCAAAGGGCAGGAAACTCTGCCTGAGGCCCGCCGGGATCCGGGGGGCCGGCCGGGCCGCCACTGGGAAAAGGGGCTGGTTGCCGCCGAGGTCCCCATGTCTCTCGCAGACGTTCAGGGAGCCACCGAAGGGCGGGGAGCAGGCAAGGCGGCCCCCCTGGCCAGAATGGAGCAGCAGGTGGGCGCCGCCCAGATGTTCCAGTGCCGTCTGGACATGGAAGATCTTCTCCGTGCCGCCCGGCTGCGGCGCCTTCAGCATCTGGAAGCCCAGCAAGGGTACGGAGTGGCCATTGAGGCTGGGGGAGAAGCGGAACAAAGTCACAAGCAGATCATAAAGCATCAGTTGCCACCCCCACACACACACCTGCCAGACCTGGGCTCCCTTTTAAGAAGAAGAAAAGAAGAGATCGGATTTATACCCCGCCCTTTGCTACCCAAAGGAGTCTCAGAGTGGCTCACAATCTCCTCTCCCTTCCCCTCCCCTCCACAGACACCCTGTGAGGTAGGCGGGGCTGAGAGAGCTCTTTCCAGAACTGCCCTTGAGAGAACAGCTCTCAGAGAACTTGTGACTGACCCAAGGCCACACCAGCAGCTGCATGCGGAGGAGAGGGGGAATGAAACCCGGTTCTCCCAGATTAGAGTCCGCGTACTTAACTACGACACCGAACTGTCTTGTGTGACAGCCACCCCCCTCTCCCGGGTGCCCATCACAAGTAGCGCCCAGTACTAGTTGGGAGTCCTGTCTCAGCGTGTGTTCCCCTCCCCCCTTCTCTCCCAACAGAAGGCCTTGAGTGCTCACAAACACCCACCTCTCTGGGCTGAAGTTGGCAGGAGCGCGGATCAGCCACAGCTCTTTGGCAGGGTCCTGCAGGGCCTCTTGGGAGAAGGGGGGGCCGGGAATGAACGGGCTGGCTGAGAAATCCGGGGGGCACTTGAAGCGCGGGGGGCCTGCGGAGAGAGAAAACAAGTGGGTCAGACAGGACAGGGACCCTCACCCCCATCACGATTCCCTCTAAGCTGACCCACAGACACTGCAGGCCCATAATGCCCTCTTAGAGCACCAGTTAAATGCCCAGTCCAGTAAAGAGGGTTGGGACCCCCTCCCTAAACGGGGTCTCCAGCAACGCTCCCTCTAAGCTGTGGAGTCTTGTGAGCAAAAAATCTACTTTGCGAGCTCCTGGCATGAAAGTTGTAAGCGAGCGATTTGGCCGCTGCATCAGTCAGTTTGCTCTGGAGCCCATCCTTCCTGAGCCAAGACAAAAAACTGTGAGCTGGCTCACACTCACTCAGCTTAGAGGGAACACTGGTCTCCATTCCCCCACCCCACCCCAGAGCCACGGCTGTGCATGCAGACTAGAGAGCCGGTTCAGGCCAGGGCGGCCGACGGTGAGCTAGGGACCAAGCGTCCCTGACTCCGTTTCACCGACAACCGCGTTCCGAACCTCCCTTGCAGGGCTGTCGTGCGCGTCTCTCAGAAAGGGGCTATTATACTGCGTCGCTGGGGGGCGGCGGACCCTCCCACCCAGCCGCACAGAGCCCCCTAAGCAGCCCGTCGCACAAGATGGGACGTCTGCCTGCCCTCCCGCCCCACCTGCCTTTTGCAGACAGAGGTACACTGCCTCTGAGCCTGGAGGCTCCACCTCAGCGCCCCGCCGGCCCTCCCAGACCTCCCCCTCGGGTCCTTTGGGTCTCCTTGAAGGCGCCTTTTCATCGCTCGGCCGGCGGCCACTCACCCGCCGGAGCCTCCATGCCCACGTGCGCCTCTCTCGCCGCCGACGCTTCCGCCTGCTCCCGGGGCGCTTCCATCCACGCCGAGGGGAAGGGGGGAGTCACCCGCTCGCTCGCTCGGGGCGGTCCTCGCGCTGGCGTCCCAGCCTGCGGAGTGACGTCAGCCGCGTCCCCCGGACTGCCCGAGTTGGCAGCGTCTCACTCCTTAAAGGGGAAGTGGGCCTTTTTTTTTTTTTTGTCCTCCGAGCCCGGAGTCGTTGCTCTCGGTGGCAATCCGGAGTGGCTCCGTTTTGCTGCGCTAACTAATCCACTTCCAGTCCACTTCCCAACTGGATGTTGCTAGTTCACACCGTAAAAAAATCCAGTTGGGAATGGCACTGAAGGTGAATGATTTAGCCTGCGTGATCACAGCCTATATCGAGAGACCAGCAGAAGTGCGGGGTCGTGCAATGGGGAAGTCGTGCAATGGGGGGGCGGGGGCGGTTAGCCGCCTCGCCTTCCTTGGTGCCATCGCTACGCAGGGTCCGCCTATAATTCGAATTGGGACCGGTTACAGTTGTAGCTGCCCAAAAGAGGAGGGAGGAGCAGGAGTGGCAAAGAACAGCCCCTGTATATCGGAATGAAGCAGGGGAAAGCGTTGCCAACTCTGGCTTGGGAAGTCCCTGGAGAAGTCCTTGGGGGGGGGGGCATTTGTGAGTTTCCTGCATTGTGTCGGGGGGTGGCCTAGATGCCCCT